TACTCTGTTAAGTGCAAAGAACAAGCTGTTTTTTTCCTCAAATCTCCACAATCAAATTTATCAAACCTATTCTAGAATCACTGCAGCGCTTTAGAATTTATTCAGGAAGATTGGCTTTCTTTTAACTTATTGTGCTCCATCTAGTGGACTTCAACAGAATTTTAAGCACAGGAAAAATAGTAGCAGTTACTTACAACCAACCTGGGCTTGCCAAAAGATTTCCTATGTGAAAAGAATAATCCATCTCACATATGTTACCATGTGTATGATTCCTTTAACATGTATGGAGGAAGACATCATGCTGTTGAGAGAAAAATGGTACTGGCATGGCCCAATACTAGGCGAATGTCATTTAGTTTTAATCCTACATGTTTTACATAGTTTTTACATGTGCTATATTTTATGACCCAGTTTATAACTATTTTATTTGGTCAGTATTGAATTTTATATGGTTATAATATGAAGGTGCTTCTAACACGAATAAAGAATTTGGTCTGATTCACCCAGCATTATATGCCATGGTTTGTTTACTTTCACTTATTAATTCAACCACAAGGCTGGATTTCCATAACAAGTTAAGCAAAATCCAATCAATGTAATAATGTCCTGTATGAATAAAACCAATGAGTTGTATATAAATATGCCATAATTTAACCAGAATGTGTCAAAATAAACATTATGCTGAGTTCATACAATTAAAAATTATTCAATGGAGTCTCCAAAACCAGCATAATATTAGAAACAAATGAGAACATTCATTCATTCATTCATTCATTCATTCATTCATTCATTCATTCATTCATTCATTCATTCATTCATCACCTTTAGAAATTGCTAATCTCCTTCACAGGGTCTTTGGGCAGTCTACAAATAAAAGTTTAAAAACATAAACTGAATATAAAAAATTTAAAATAGAGGCAAGGATGGTAAAAAACTGATGTTAAATATAAATTAAAAGGTAGAGGAGGGGCTTCAGCATGTACCCCTCTGAGCCCCAAGAGAGATGGCAGAGCCAAGTCTTTAGACATTTTTGAAAGACCAGGAGACTGGAGACCAGCCTCACCTGTGGGAGGGGGGAGACTATTCTAAAGGGCGGAAACAACCACAGAGAAGGCTCGTTTCTTGAGCTCTTCCAGTCAGAATCCTTTAACGCAACATACCTTTCCTGCCTGACTAGGTGGGATGGGCTGATGCAATGGGATGAAGCTGGTTCTATAGGTAACCTGACTCCATGCCATGTAGGGCTTTAAAGATCATAACCAACACCTTTATAGGACCCAGAAGCATACTGGTGTTCAGTACAACTCACTCAGCACAAGTGCTGTTATATGCACAAGTGCCCAACATTGATACCTTTTGTATCAGCTGAAGCATCCAGATACTTTTCAAGGATAGCCCCACGTAGAGTCCATTGCAATAGTCCAAATGGAAGATGACCAGCGCATGAGTGACTGAGTATAGAGCCTCCCTATCCAGGAAAGTGTGTAACTGGTGCACAATATAAAGTAGAGTAATGGACCTCTTTTATCTTAAGAATAACCTTTAAATAACACTTTTATTAACTCCTCAAAAGCCCCAGCTATGGAAATTATTCCAAGAGGTCTCTGACAGCAACAATTAGATAGATATAACAAGCATTCAGTATAGTTAATTTCCTTTTCTTGGTACATTATATTCTGCTGTTTTCATAGAATTCTACTTGTTTTAAGGACAATTTTGTTTCTTCATGTATTCTAGTGCTGTGTGATCTAATTGATTGGCTTTGGAAAACAGATGATTCAGGGTGTTTCTCAAAATACTTTTTTGCCTAAAATAGATGACAAGAATGCAGTTCCCAAAGCAGTTCCTCTCAAGACACCCACCCTCCCAGATTTACTTAAGTCTGGTTCATTTGACTGGCTGCAAAGTTGGCAATTCTGACCACTTTTTAAGTCTAGATATTTTTCTCTGAAACTATAGACTGTGGCTCCTGTGAAAGCTTTTGGGCTTATTTTATCCAATTCCCTTCATGAATTTAGTTGAGTTGGATGCCTGCGAAGTTGCTGTTCCAAGTTATTTTTTTATATTATTATTTATTTTTATTCTGCTATGAATGTTGATACAAATAATCCAAGGCAGCTTACATATCCAAGGCATGGTCTCCTACTCCTATTGTGATTTTAACTGGCTGGACATGAGAGTTCAAGGTAGTTTTGCTTTTTGGGTCTTAATTAAGTTATAAACTTACAGCAGCTAAAGATTTGACATTCCTGTTGCTCTTACTGATCTTTAATACATCCAATCACTTCTGGTATCGATATTATTTTAAAAGTGCCACTTCTATTGTCATTTTCATATCATTTCCACAAATGACAGTGCTAACACTGTTGTCATCTGGTTTTTCAATATTCTCAAGCCTGATGTGTTTGTTTACTCTTTTATGCATGCATCTGTCTGTCTGTCTGTCTGTCTGTCTGTCTGTCTGTCTGTCTATCTATCTATCTATCTATCTATCTATCTATCTATCTATCTATCTATCTATCTATCTAT